TTGAACAGATAAAAACTATAATTAACCCGGAAGTAACAATAATCAAACCTAACCCTTTGACACATAACCAAAATGCATCAACTTCGAAATCTTAAATTAATGCAACATAACATCACCAGTATAAGACCATTAGAAACTCGAAAAATTCTTAAACACTTCCTGAGTACTAATCACATAGATATTGCAATATTACAAGAAATCTGGATTAAATCAAATGAAGAATATAAATTTCCAAACTATAAGTTCATTAAATCACTAAGACCGAATGGTTACGGTGGTGTTGGACTGTTAATTAAAAACGAATTGCAATATGAAGAAGTTAGACTTCCGAAAATAGAACCAATAGAAGCTGTAGCAATAAAAACATTAAACACAATACCAGAGTTAATTATAATTTCTATCTACATACCTCCCTTACCGATAAGAAACCAAGATATAAAAGAACCACTGAAGAAAATTTTTGATTTTATAGAATTGCAGAAAATATCAACTATATTAGCAGGCGATTTTAACGCACATAGTAAAATATGGAATCAAAACCAAAACGATTGTCCTAGAGGAGAACTTCTTCTAAACTTAATTGAAATGACAGATTTAGTGATACTTAATGATGATTCACCTACATTAATAAAAACTCCCAATACAACTCCATCCACTATAGACCTTACATTAGTTACACCAGAAATAGCATGTAAAATTGATTGGAATGTAATTGATGATGAAATAACCAGTAATCATAAAATCATAATGTTTGAAATAAATAATACAGCTAAACAATACTTAATCAATAGAAAATATATAAATAAGAAAAAAGCAATAGAGGGAATCAATAACATAGAAATAACTGAAATAAAGGATCAATATGATTTAATACCAAAAATTCAAGAACAAATAGAAAAGGCAAAATATACTCCCAAAAACCTTAATTGTAAAGCCAAAGTATGGTGGAATAATAAAATAGACAATTTACATAAGATCAAAAATAAGCATTTAATAGAGTATTTCAGAAACCAAACACATGACAACCTAATGAAATTTAAAAAATCAAAAGCTAAACTGAAACAAGAAATACGAAAGGAATCAAAAAAAAGTTGGAATGATCTAATAGAAACCATAAATCCTGAGATGGACCAGAAAACCTTATGGAATACAGTAAGAAGAATAAGCGGAGGTTTTCCCAGCAAAAATAATATCCACTTACTTAATGATGGTAAATTAGCAGATACATTTATGAATCTGAATTTTCCAGAAATACTTACAGATTTGAAATATACACCTAAACAGACAAATGAAAAAATTACCATAGAATATATTCAAGTTCATAAACTAATACACTCAAAAAAAGACACTTCATCTCCTGGTTTGGACGAAATATCATTTCAAATTTTGAAAAATACTAATATTAAGCTTCTCATTAAAATTGTTGAAATATTAAATAAAGTAGTTAATACTGGAGATTTACCAGAAGAATGGCGAGACATTAAAGTGATACCGATATTAAAACCATCAAAAAACTCAAATAATGCTAACTCCTACAGACCTTTATCAATGCTTTGCGTTTTGCTTAAAATTATAAACTTCGTAATCAAAGTTCAATTGAATACTCATATTGAAACAAACAATATATTTTCTATCTATTCGTTTGGATTCAAAAAGAAAGTATCCACCATTAACTGTATCAACACTTTAGTATCTCATGTGCATGAAGCTAAAAGAGAAAGTGAGATAGTATTAGCTACATTTTTAGATATGACAAAAGCTTTTGATAATGTTAATGTAGATACGTTAATCAACATATTAGAGAATATTAAAACACCTATAGCCATTACAAATTGGATTTATTTTTATCTAAGGAAACGAAGGGTTATTCTCAAACTAAATGACAGCACTGAGATAGTAGCAACAACTAATAAAGGTTTACCACAAGGCTGTCCGCTTTCGCCAATACTTTTTAATGTATATACAAATAATCTCCATACTTTAACTAAAGGTGACAGGATTCTTTTCCAATTCGCTGATGACTTTACCGCCATGGTAAAAGCAAGAACCCTAGAGATTGCTTCTGAAAAAATGAATGAATTTTTAAATGACATTAATACAATATTAAAACAATTGGGGTTGGTTATCAACTCAGACAAGTGTGCTACAATAATATTTACAAACAAATACCATCCTAATACAAACATTTTGATAAACAACTACCCAATTGAAGTAAAGAACTGTCATAAATTTCTTGGAGTTCAAATTGATCATAAACTCAACTACAAACAACATATAGAGTCTGCAGTAATCAAAGCCAAACGGAAAATAAATATATTAAAAATGATTGCAAAAGGTAAAAAAGGAGCTCATCCATCTACAATGTTAAGAGTAGCAAAATCAATAGTACAGCCACACTTAGATTATGGTCTAACAATAATAGCATCTGCATCCAAAACAGTTTTTACAAAATTAGAGACAGTTCAACACCTATATATAAGAACTTGTATGAGATACCTTAAGTCTACGCCAAATCATGTAATATTATCAGAAAGTGGTATATTACCAATGAAAGAAAGAGCAGAATATTTATCCATTAAAGAAATAGTAAAAAATCTATACCATCAAAATACACCAATAGTCACATTCTTAGGAAAATTTATAAATTCGAATGAGTTACCTAGTCAGACTTCTTTTTTAGAAAAAATAGCAGGAATAAACAATTACCATCTAATTCAACTGGGTACAAAACCTTCGTATAACACCACCACCAAATTGAAAATAAATACAGAAATAAAACATCTAAAGAAAAAAGAAATTTCGACAGTAACACAGAAAACAATGGTTTTGGAATTAATCGACAAAAACTACAAAAATGAATATCTGATATACACAGATGGATCAAAAATCGATGAAAAAACCGGTTATGGTTTTTATGATAGTATAGAACGCATATCCTTTAGTGGGAGACTAAAAACCCAATTTACAATAATGAATGCCGAAATATTCGCAATATTAAAAAGTGTAGAATATATAATTTCCAAAAATATAAAAACTGCAGTCATATTAACTGATTCCAAGAGCGCTGCTCTTCTAATTAAAAACAATACTAATAATGATAACTTTTTAATTAATGATCTATACAATAAAATTAAAACCTCTAATGTCGAAAAAATTATAATACAGTGGATTCCAGGACATACTGGATTAATTGGCAACGAAAGAGCAGATTTAGCAGCTAAAATGGGTACAAGCAGGCAACAGATAGAAAACACTCCAATAACCAAAGATGATTTGATACTTAACATTAAATTAGAAACCACATGCATGTGGAATCAGAGATATAAGTTAATATCTGAAGAAAAAGGAATTTATCACTATAGTATAATGCAAAATATAAGATTAAAACCGTGGTTTGAAGATATAAAGCTTTCCACTAGAGACACCATAACTATTAGTCGATTACGAACAGGACACTTAGCTACAAAAGATAGGCTAAATAGATGGGGTTTAATATCCTCCGACAAATGCGAACACTGTAATGTCACTGAAGATATAACACACATCTTACACAAATGTCCGAAATATGATACAAAGCGCTGCAAATACCAATCACTTATACAAAAAGAAGAAATAGTTCAAATTCTTAAAGGCACTAACTATCAAAAAATCAAAGAAATTGCTAAATTTTTGGGAGAGATAGGAGTTAATATTTGAGACTAATTGATTCGAGTAAAATAAGTTTAATAATATTTACATTAGTAGCCACCCGTCACTGAAATGATAAGATTTTTCAATTAATCGGTCGTTCGAATATTTGACGTTAAAATTGTCATTACAAGACTTGGCTGTTATGGACCAACACGGTCTGCGCCAAAGCGAGAGGGAAAAAAAAAAAAAAAAAAAAACAACAATCAATACGAAACTAACGATTTTAAATTGGCTCACTACTTGACTAGCCTATTGGTCCCAAGCAAATCGATTAACGTACCCCATTCTAGTCGAAATTCTAGTACTACACAATGTTTGTTTTGATTCGCTATGAAAGTTTGACAGATTAAATGAGGGGTTAGTGGATTTTCCTATGTTTCGAGGGGTGCATCGATTAGCTTGGGACCGAAGATAGTACCAGAGCTGAACCAAAAAGTTGAGCTCGTTTCTTCGGGACCTTCTGGTCTTAGAGTTACCTCTATGGTAGAATGCTAAAAGTAAACTTCGCTGCTGTTCGTCGTTGTTCTCTCTTCGAAGCTTTTTTACCCATCGCAGCAACCGAGGGGCCTTTAATGACAGTTAGAACAATTATATTTTTCAAAAAGTTTACTTATTGAAGAAAGCAAACTTATTGGACGGTAGCTGAAGCTTCAGCTGGATTTTTATACGGCTTCAAAATTGAAACAACTTTTGCATTTTTCCATTTATCAGTAAAGTATGCCAAATGGAAACATCTGTTAAATAATTTTATCAAGAAAGACAAGGTACTCTCTGGGAGTTTTTTGATGAGGATATAGAAAATTCCATCATCACGCGGAGCTTTCATATTATGAAACTGTGCAAGTGTGTAGTATTTTTTATGTTATGTTTTCATTTGGAAGAGAATTCCGTATATTTATGCCATACGTCCATTATGCCAAACGACCGCAATGCTAGGATTATATTATGCCAAACGGCATTCCCCTGTATTTACATATACATATTTATCTAATTATGATAAGACGTGTGCCTTAAAAGTTAAAGCATCAATAAAGTATCAAATAGAGTATTTTAATACCGCAAAACGATACAACTCGAAATGTCATAAACCGCGAATTGACTCATCGCAAAATAATTTAAGGCAAAAACATTTATGGAACCAGGATTGTCATCTCGATAATTACCCATATTCTCGTTTTCGTTCGAACCGTATTTTCCATACAAAAATAAAGTTTTTTTCGTATTGAAAATACGGTTCGAACGAAAACAAGAATATGCGTTAATATAAAACAATACGTTCCATTTTGCTTTTCGTTTATTGGTTAAAATACATTATTTTATCAATTCTAATACTTTTTACGTTCTTTGTATCTGCAAAAATCGAAATGTCATAGAAATAATATTAATCGGTTCTACTAAAAAATGGGTTGATGGAAACTCTAACTTATGGACAGGTTAAGGTGATACTCTAAGGAAGCCTTAGCGTGAAACTTAAAAGGCACAAATGTCAGCTACCACAAAACATACAAATTTGAAATTGATACTCCTTGTTTGTTGTGCTACTACAAACAGAGAGTAGCAATTTCAAATTTGTTTGTTTTGTGGAAGCTGACATTTGTGCCTTTGAAGTTTCACGCTAAGGCTTCCTTAGAGTATCACCTTAAAAAGGGACGTTCTTTCATTCATCATTGATCGATCAACTACAGGATCACCTACGGTGACGGAGCCCATATTGGCCTTGTATGATTGTGTTCGTGTCAACTAATTTTTCAACGCATAGCCAACTTTTTTTTTTTTTTTTTTTTTTTTATATCTTTATTAAGGAGACTTTCAGCCCTGGGCAGGTTCGTCTCCATAAGCCAACTTGATACCGTTGAGTTATGATTTATAAAAAAAAAACTAAAGTAAATATTGATTTACAATAACCAAAACAAGGTTAAATACGACCTATATTGAAACTGTCATGGTTCCATGCTTGGCATGCACAGTTGTACACACCAACTGCTCATTTGGTAATAACTTTACACTCAGTTGTTGAAATTTGTTTTTGTTTAAAGTAATTGATAGATTAGAAGCATGGCTTACTATAGATATGCACTGCCGTTATACACATAACTGTCCCATGTTCTATGCAATCCTTATGCACCATGGGACTCTTATGCGTATAACGGCAGTGCAAAGAGTTTGTAAATCTTAACATTTGAATCAACACCTATGAATTTTTACGCTTAAAGTCCGAGATGTGCAGCAAGCATTTCTCACTTCATTTTTACAACGCAAAAACAAATACAGTTCAGTGCCAACATTTCAAAGGGGCGTAATTGCTTTTGTAAACAATGACTTTAGCCGTCCATTTCTCGCGAATGAAATCTTACCTCTCCAAAATAAAAATGCTAGCTGGTAGAGGAAACATTCATCTACCTGGTGGTGTCATTATTTTTCATGAGTGAGCTTTTATTCGCGACAAATCGACGGCTAAAGCCATTGTTTACAAATACAATTACGCCCCTTTGAAATGTTGGCACTGAGTTTATTACTAGAATTAAAATCTATTTTTTTTTCACGTATCTATAACAAGTTTATTCTATCTACTGCTTCAAAAAGAACTATGTTTCGTCAACTGTGTGCAAAGTATTAGCAAATGAGCAGTTCGTGACCAAAACTGTAAATCATGCATGGTTCTATAAGGGTATGTAAGCTTATTACAGATACAAATGCTTTACTAAACCGTTTCCTGTTTAATCTCAACTGAATAAACAGCATCATTGCTACTGCTCTCTTTACTGGACGAGCTGCTAGTAGAGCTAGCAGAATCAGTTGAAGTTCTTTGTGAAAATTTAATGTTTCCTCCCAATCCTCCGATGAGGAAATGCTCAGATACGTGGTGCCGTAGCGAATCCGCTGTGTTAAAAGGAACTTGACACAGTTCGCAAAAATATTGTTCTGTCTTTTTTGAGCCATCGCCTTTAGTATCGTCTTCAGATTCATCCTTATCGTTTGAACAGTTTTTATCATCTTCTCCGTCATCATCAGCATCATCTTCATCATCTATAAACTCCGCTTCAATAATGTTAGCGTCATCATCATCCTCACTACAAAAAAGTATAAGCATAAAGTATAATTCCGCACTACCCAATCGCATTGTACTTACCCTTCGTCTTCTTCCTTTATTTGTGCTTCGTTCGTTTTTATTTGAGCTGATGAAGTGCCTTGTTGGTGCGATGTTTCATGTCGAATTGAACCATCAGTTTCACCATCTACGTGGTGTTTCGGTTCTTCTGTTACGCGCTCTTGATTTTCTCCATTAGAGTCTTTAACGTTAAGATGAGATACCATATGCTGAAGTAGACGCTCCTTCCTGGTAAAAGCTTTGCCACAAATTTCGCAACACCATTCAAATGTCTGAGAAGGTTTCTGTACCCGAGCATGACCCAGTTTGTGATCGATCCATTCTGGTACAGTACTAAACTTCAGAAAACACGTCGTACATTCTCGGAACTTTTCAACGAAAGACGATGCCACTGTATGTGCTGTTATCGAAGGGCTATTTTGAATCGAAGATTTCGTTTCATTTCGTTTGTGTACCTCTACTATATGTCGTTTTAAATTATTTCCGCTGGCAAACGTAGAATAACAGTATGGACAGGTAGGTGAACCTTTTTGTACAGAAGGATCTAACAAAGAAAAAAAAAATCATTGCATAAGTACCATTTATCCACAAATTCAATTCCATTTAAGTGGCCAAAGTTGAAAATATATATGATGCGGGTCAAACGATACCTACCGGTGATAACTGGAGCCGTAGTAACGCCGGATGATACACGATGCAAATGTGATAACTTCTTCATCTTACTTGGCGGCAGTTGATCAGGCTGCCAAATATCATTAGGATCACGGACTTTTCGTCCATCGGGAGATCTGAAGTGCCAACCTCTGTGAACCTGAAGTGCATTCAAAATATGGAAAGTCTTGGGACACATGTCACACTGATAAACGGTATCGTCTAATTTGCGGTTGGTACGACGGAAACTTTCATTAATCAAGTTTACAGATGTATCTAGCATTGAAAACAATGCGTCAGTTGCACACCGCATGTCATGAAACTCTTGACCATGAGAGTTCCCGTTGATAACGTTATTACTGCATACGTTACTGGCATGCGCCTGAGCTGTGTGATAACATAGTTCCGTTTTGTCAAAAAATACTCTCGAGCAAACATCACAGGCTGAAGCGTCCGGAATTTTTGGATGTTTCTTATACCGGTGGACCCAAAGTGATTTTTTTGTGCTATAGACCCCACCACAATCTTTACATGAATGATCGCTTTTATCATGCTCCTCGTGATTATTCATGTGAATAGACAGCCGTTTGCTAGTATCAAAACTTTCCGTACAGTACCGGCACTGAAACCAAAGATGGGGCTGATGGGTTGATAAGGTTACCGAGGAATCATGTGTCACGTTTTCTTCAATGCTGTGAGTACTGAAATAAAAAGGAAATAGCGAAAAGTTTTTAAATTGAGTCTTCCTACATTCCTTTACCTATTATCATCAGGTTTAATTTTTTTTTATCCCCGTAGGATTGCAATGATGATGAGAAAAAATTTCAATTGACTACGATGCCGGACGGATTAGTCTGTGGTGACCAATTAAACACCGGATTCACGATATTGATTAATTATAATCTTCTTGAAAATCTTTATGCTTCGGTAATCGCTGGTCTGTCTTTGTCTATGTCTTCTTCTCATTCGTACGTCAGTTTTAATGTCTGGATGTTTTCTTGAGTAATGTCATGATGTGTTTGTGTATCAGGGTGTGTGTGTGTTTGTGTATCTGCACCAAATGATTATATTTCTTCCTCATCTCCTAGTTTTAACTGCGATCAAGAAAAAAACAATTAAAAAAAAAAAACAAAATACGTTGCAAAAGTTCATACCATAACAAATCTTACTATCCACATATTTGACTAATACCTAAATGTAATTTTTAATTTTATGACGATAAGTTGCTCAAAATAGCAGCCTGTAATTTCGTACCAGAATCCGTCTCCAATTTAATGTCTTTCGATATTTTCGAAGGCGAACACTCCGCAACCTATTCTTGCTAGTGATTCTGTCCAATTGTTAGGTATCCAAATTATAGTCATTCGTCAATTTATTATTGAATATATGGATGAACTATCTATTAATCAATAACTATTGTTTACGATAATTACATGAAATAAATAAAATATAAACTACAAACCATTAGACGCTATAATAATACCTTGCACATGCTAGACACAAGAAGAGGCCAAAAGGCAAGCGTCCGATAGGAATGGGCGATGTCGATGCGATTTTTACAGAATCGATTTTTTTGCCTCGAAAAATCGATTTTTTTCATCCGATCTTTTTCTGTTCGATGTTTGACAGAATCGATTTTTCAAATTGATATCGATTTTTTACTCATTTAAACTTTTTTATAAAGCATTTAAAAAAAACAAAACGCCTCAATTACCAAAGAGAAAATAAAATCGCCGAACTCTTTTTATGTTGTTGTTGATTATGTTGAATCAAATGTTATCATTGAATTCTTGAAAAAAAAAAATGATAAACAAAATGGTATTTCACTATCCCAAAAAATATGTTTTTATTTAAAATCAAGCGACATTAATTTCATCGTCCTCAAATTTTGCTAAACACCCTTTCAATCTTGGGCTTTATTTATTTGTTACTTTTTATGTTGTGTGTACTTTGGACCCATTCTTTCTAATTCATCCAGCTGATTTTGTTTGCAAAAAAAAAACACGCACTCCTTGATGCAAAAAAACATTGGAAAGGTGAGTTTTAATACCTACACACTAAGATTATTTAACAGATTTCTGTAAAATTTTACCGAAATCTCAACAGCTGAACGTTCGGTAAACAATTTTACATTTTTCCTGTAATTATTTACAGATATCTGTGAAAAATTCACAGATAATTGTGAAACATTACAGGAAATCTGCGAAACTGTTTACCGAACGTTCAGCTGTTGAGATTTCGGGAAAATTTTACAGATTTCTTTAAAAATTTCTAAGTGTGTACAGAAGATTTTGAAAGCTCAGATATAGAGTTGAGGTTGAATAACACACTTAGAAAAAATCATGTAAATTTAGGTGCTCTGAGCCTGACATATACGAGCGTCAATTTTGACATAAAATTGTGTCATAGTAGACGTGAAATTCAACTCAATAAAACGTATTTTTCGTCGAGTAACGAACTTTTCTGTCTCGGAGCATTTGATTTTACATTACATGTTTGTTTACGTCTCATCTTTTATGTCAAAGATGGATTCCGTCACATGTAAAATTAGGTATTTCTAACTGTGAAGCTAAATATTCGCAATATTTCTTAATAATTCGGTTTCAATATTTAAATAGAGTGCAATTGCTTTTGTGAATTGGTTTTATACAAATAAATGCTCAAACACATACACTAAAACAACAGGAAGAGGAATATTTCGTCTAATAGAAGATTATAAAGCATAATTCAAATATTTAAAAAAAATCGATTTTACTCGAATCGATTTTTATTGTTTCGATATTTTAGAGGATCGATTTTATAGTCAGTTTTAGAATCGATTCGACAACATCGATTTTTTGTTTCAAAACGCACATTCCTAGCGTCCGACACACAAAACCCGTCAAATCCACTCGCAGCCACAATCAATGATTCTACGAATCGCGACCGCTCACGAATCATAAAACCGCCGACTGCGACACTCTGAAATCGAAATTGACAGCCTCTATGCGTCAAACACCCGCCCTCCAATCTCCTCCCGCATCCAACAACACAAATCTCCATTACAACATGTAACGAATTCAAAACTCCGAAAATCACTCATCTATAGCAAGTGAGTGGAAGCAACCCTGCATGCAACCATTCTTCATGATACACTTTTTCTACCTATCTTTCTATTAGGCCTGTGGACATGCGTTAGCTTCGAAACTTCTAACCAAACTGGGAAATCTATCAGATCACAAAAACTTGAAAAAACTTTCAAAGGTATTATTGATTATTTTACACAAAAACTAGCAAGTAATATTAAATCTTTTGTATCGTATGCTCATGCCAATTGACTGTAACAAAAATAATATGCTAAAATAAAATAAAATTTTAATAGAATGATATGCAAAATTTACTAGAAGATCATTACTTTATTGGTGAGAAGTTTCTAATAAGCCCTCCCAGTTCCTCTGTATACAGAACAAATCTGATACTATAATCAGAATTGCTCAGTCTGCATGAAGCAGCCGATTTCATCAAGGAAATTCTATTATCAACCAAGAATTAATCGTTTGAGGCATACTGAAGCATTAAGAAGGTGATATGTGTCACTATAGGAAATCATCATCGTTGCAAATATAAAGAAATTAAACACAACCCTTTGCTTCAGTACCGTCAACCTCCATGTCCATGGGGAGGGATTATCATCAGGGTTAATCTTTAAACACTTATGGCGGTAAGCTCCAACTCGGATTAACTTTTAATCCCGTCCCTGCCCTGTTTGGATGATCTGCAAAATGTTTGCTTAGAGTCGTGTTGATTAACTCTGGTGTCAGGCGCAGCGAGAAACTGCCAGTAATTACTGCAACAATTGGAGAGCAAGCAAATGTTGGCCCTGGTGGCGAAAGCAAGAACTACTGACTGATGGTTGTTTCAAATTCCTTTACGGTGAGGTATGGGAGAGACTTTTTTAATTTAATTGAACTTTTTAATTAGGTGTTTCATACTGCTTCTGACAGCACTCACCACCAGAGGGCAAGCCGCCTTGAATCGTATTACCTGGTGGTAAATCGACTTGAAAATGTATGACTTGTTTTGAAAATCACTAGTGATTAAATATCAATAATGGTGCAATTTGTCCGATATATTATTTCTACATTATGTCACTATAACTAAAAAGAACAAAATGTAGAAACTTGTCTCACCGCTAGAAGCAAAGTTTAAAAAGAAATCGACGATTTAAAAAAATCTCCCTGAAACTCATTATCCTCCGAAAGGGAAGTAAAGCCGTTGGTCCCCGGTTCATGAGTTGATGGGTCGATGGGTAGAGTCCAGATGTGGCGCCGGGAGCAAACTTACTTACCTCAAGTCTCAAGATTTTTGGAAATCCTGCACTTATTTCCCGAAATTCACAGTTAAACAATATTTACGGAACGCGGACAAGAGTTGAATCTTCTTCTTCCTCTTTCCTTTATTTAACGTTGGTCTCTGTTCCGCAATCTAGTGCCAATCACCGACGGACATCGATTGTCATCCATTGACGGCAATCGAATGTGCAGGAAGGCAGCTTCCACACCTGCGTAGGATATCGCACCCATTCAAACACACACATGGGCCGGGACCAAAGGCTTTACTTCCCTTCCGAAGGAAGACTTGACCAGAGATTTTTATGCATCAGAAAAATCCCACCGACCTCGACTGGGAAAAGAGTTGAATCAAACGAGAACAGTTTTGTGTTATTGTTTACATTTTTGTCCGGGTGAAAACGAGGGAATGGTTGGTAGTTATTTTTGCATTCTTGGCCCAGGGAATGGACACAACAAATAAATGCTTAATTAAAATTAACTATTGTTGGCTTAATAAAAGAATATTGTTATTTTTTCAGCGGTTGCGGAGGTGTAGTGATAAGCGTGATTACCTCTCACCCCAGCAGGCCTGGGTTCAATCCCAGTCGGCACCGCCGGGATGTTCTGAGGCATAACTTCTCTGATCACGCCTTCGGAAGGGAAATAAAGCCGTTGGCCCCGATTCATGAGTTGATGAGTCGATAGGTAGGTTCCAGGTGTGGGAGTCGCCTCCCTGGCGTCGGTAGCATTGGTGCTCAGCACGAAAAACAAATCAAGGAAAAAAAAATATTTTTACAATATTTGCAGTTGAAAAGTGGCTTATTTTTTTTTTATCACCGTAGGATTGCAATGATCGGGGTTGATGAGAAAAATTTTCAAGTGACTAAGATGCCGGACGGATTAGTCTATGGTGACCAATTAAACACCGGATTCACGATATTGATTAATCATAATCTTCTTGAAAATCTTTATGTTTCGGTAATCGTTGGTCTGTCTTTGTCTATGTCTTCTTCTCATTCGTACGTCAATTTTAATGTCTGGATGTTTTCTTGTCTAATGTCTTGATGTGTTTGTGTATCTGTGTGTGTGGGTATGTGTTTGTGTGTTTGCACCAAATTATTATATTTCTTCCTCATCTCCTAGTTTTAACTGCGTTCAAGAATAATTAACTAAAAAAAAAATAATAAAAAAAAAAACAAAAAAAAAGGAAACAAACAAAAAACGTTGCAGAAGTCCATACCATAACATATCTAACTTACTATCGACATTTTTTGACTAATACCTAAATGTAATTTTTAATTTTATGACGATAAGTTGCTCTACTACTACTACTAAAATCTGACTACTAAAATCTCAAAAAGATATTCTCACAAATGTATTTCACGCAACCA